GCACCCCCAACCCACCCACCCCCACCAAACCAAAATTGTGAATTTTTTACTGTAAACTGATCAAAAGGGGTTCTTTTTCCTCAGTTTCAGGAGCTGTTTGTGCATCTACTTTGGCCAAGAATGGAATTTCAGTAACCATTTTTGAATCTGGAAGAGGCCCAGGTGGCCGTATGTCTCAAAGAAGGTATTGGGGTTTTTTTATTTATGAAATTTTTTCATAAATTATGTGATGGGGTTTCTTAAAAATTGAATCTTGAATTAGAGAAATGACAGAAGATGGAAGGGAGCTGCATTTTGATCATGGGGTTCCTTATTTCTCAGCTAAAAATCCTGATGTGTTGAGACTTATTTGTGAGTGGCAATCAAAAGGACTTGTTGCAGAATGGAAAGAAAAGTTTGCTACTTTTGATTGTGATTCTAAGCAATTTCTTGATATTGAACAGGTTACTTGTTTTTCTTTTTACTGTTTCTAGTAGTTTTATTTTATCTTCTTTGTATGTTCTGGAATATGCTGACTGTTTTCATTTGCTAATATATTAAGGACTATTACTTTGTAGATTGTGTTCAGCCTGCTTTCTTTTACTTTTTTTGTTTATTAGGAGTACTGTTTTTCTAAATGTGTTTTTGATGGATTGGTTGGTAGGTTGTGTTCACATTGTTTCTATTTAAGACCAAAAAAGGAAAGGGTGTTTGTACACGTTCTTTTTGACCATTCATTTGGATTGTTATAGCCTATATAGGTATAGATTTATTTATTCAATTCATTTATGCACATGTTGTAACTAAGGGATTATTCAATGTGTAAGTGGTTTATCTTGGAAAGTTCCAAGAAATGACCAAATAGAAGATTATTGAGATTAAGAAATATGTCGGTGTTCCTGGCCGATGTCCCAAAGGATTCTTATGCCTTGCTCACCTCGCACACAGAGTGTGAGGCGTCTTAGTTAAGCGCCTGCATTTCGTATATAGTGTTGAGAGAACAACTTAAGTACAATATCGGAAAATGATAAAAGCAAATGTGTAGTTTTCTCTATGGAAAATTTGCATTTTTACTGCCGTATAATTTAATATTAGCACATAGCCACAGGGTCACATGCATATAGTAATGAGCTTTTACTGGTAGTGTTGTTGCTTACTCTTATTTTAATTCAGGAAGGTTTGGAGAAGAAATATGTCGGTGTTCCAGGAATGAATTCAATTTGTAAATCGTTATGCCAGGAGCCTGGTATGCGGCTAATATTGCTGAATTTCATTCTTTGAAATGTTTTTTCACTAAGATGAACTACTGCACGATATTTACTTTTTTTTCTGTTTGAACTATGTAGGAGTTCAAAGTAGGTTTGGGGTAGGCGTTGGGAGGTTGGAGTGGTTGGATAATGAAGATTCATGGTCATTGATGGGTTTAAATGGCGAAAGTCTTGGCTACTTCAAGGGAGTGGTGACATCAGACAAAAGTACATTTTCACAAAGGTTCACTAATGTAACAGGGAAACCTGTACCTATTGGTAAGACATATCTCTACATTCTTTTGTTGTCTTAATAATTTCATTGGGTTGACCTTAATAGTTGTTGATTACAGTTGCATTTTTTCAAGACCTACATAATAAAATATGTTGTTGTTTTGTGAGATATGTCACCTACTTCCAGCCAGTTGTTTACTTGTGCTTTGACAATCGCTGGAATGGACTTTCCTTTTTTTAATGGTTCAGGCTCCAGCAGGATAAGTCTAAATAGTATATTTTGTCAACTGTGGTCAAGAAGGGATAATAAGAGAGTTTATATTAGGTGTCTGAAAATATGAGAGTCTAATATTATACAACATACTTAAATAATAGCCTTTTTTTTTTCTTTTTTTTTCAAAAGTGTCTCATATGCTTGGAGATGTTGGAGGGCCATCGTATCAAGTTGTCGCTACATCTTTGTGATCATTGTATTTGACTGAGTTTGTTTATATTCAATCATCTTTACTCCTTGCTTTTGTGTTGTCACTGGTACTGTGGTACATAAACCTTGCCATGTACAACGTCTCAGCATCCTATCTGTTCTTTTATACGTTAAGCTCATATTGACATGTATCTTTTCATATGGACTGTTCTTGGTTTGTTCCTCGCTGTTTTGCTTTAATAATATTGGCATTCTTTGATAAGTTAACAAGGTCTGCATTTAACCGGACAATTATTGTATCATGTCTAATTTCTTTTCCAGTAACGATATGTAACCTCCCTTGTATCAAGACATGTCAGCAACGTTATCTATTAGATCTTGCTTCTTTCATGTAGACATGGAAAAATTTCCAGAAATATCGTTGAAGATGACAGAAATTCCTGTTAATCCTTGTTTTGCTCTCATGTTGGCGTTTGAAGAGCCTTTGACAGAGGTAAGATGTGCTCTGTAACCACAGATTTCATTTTGATGAATGTCAGAAAATCTTTTAGTATCTCATGACTTGATCGAAATAAAAAGTGATTTGTTTGCTACTTAGCCTACTAGCTGATACTGTTGATAAGAACTTGTCTTGATGGCTATCATACCTGAAATTTCCTGATGGAATATGTCTCTCTTCCTACCATATTTGAGATACCAATACGAGGCTTCTCATTCAAGAGCTCAAAAGTTCTACATCGGGCATTCTGTGACAGCAGCAAACCAGGGCGTTCACACAATAGGTATATGTTTATGTTGTTAATGAGCATATCAATATTGTGACTGACAACAAAAAAGAAAAAGAGAAATGCAGTAGATAAATATTGCGAGTAAATTGAACATCGTATTTGGTCAATTTCACTTATATTTATTGTTGTATTTGATTATGTTGTTCTTTTCTTTCCCCCAATGAAGTGAACGCTGGGTGTTGCACTCTACGGCGGAGTATGCTCAGGATGTTATTGCCCAGACAGGACTTCAGAAGCCTTCCAGTGCAACATTAACGAAAGTAGCTGAAGAACTATTTCAAGAATTTCAAAGCACAAAGCTCAGTATACCTCAGGCATTCTTTAAGAAAGCTCATCGATGGTCAGTATCTAACATATACAGTTGCTCATTTCAGTTTCGGATTTAGTTAGCTGCATGCATTCCTTAGTTTGAAATAGACAAAAAATCACACTTACAAATTTACCACACACAACATTTCTTGTGGAGATATAGTGTTAAAACAATGCCTCAGGTTTCCAAAAAATCAAACTGTTACTCGATATCTATATTAATAGGAAGATGCATGTACATGAGGGATAGGTAGAGCCGTAGAGGTACTCAATCTAGCCCGGGCAATCGGGCACAACCATTATCCCGATGGGAAGAAAGAAAAAGAAAAAAATGCTTGAGCTAAAATCTTGTCTTGGAATCATATCAGTCTCAGATGGCAGTTGTGTAGTCATGTTGGTGGATTGAAGTACTTAGACATGTATTCCTTTCTTCTTGCTTGTTGCTGTACGTATATTTCATGTCATATTTATGTTGCTATCGCGTGTGAATTCGTCAGGGGCAGTGCGTTCCCAGCAATAAGCGTAGCAGAAAATGAGAAATGCCTTTGGGACGCGAAGAAAAGGCTGGCAGTATGCGGAGACTTTTGTGTTAGTCCAAATGTTGAAGGGGCTATCATTAGTGGCTTGGCTGCTGCAGCAAAATGCTCTGAAGTTCTCTGTCGCTTATAATAAAATGACATATATTCTGTGTATTACCAAATAGTCATTTTGCTGGTTTTATTATACTTGACTGAGATTATAAATTGTAACAGAAACCAGAAATAAACTTGGTCATTCTACTAAATTTGTCCAAAATATTCTTATTTGACACTTACGGAGGTTAATCTCAAGTGTTGTAAGCTATTATTAAGGAATTCCTACTATAACAACTCAGTTCACTAGTTATATTATTGGTTTTTGAGCCTTGGCCTACACGACTTTAAAATGAGTCGTTAGAGTTAAGGGTATTTCTCCTTTTTTGTTGATGTGAAATTTGTCTAGGGTGTCACGGGCATGATTTGCACGTATGGTGAGATGGAATGGAGGCGAGGCATATATGGTGATGGAAAAGACGCAACCAATATCAATTTGAATTCTTTTAAAAAAAAAAAATTGATGATCACATGCATGTACAGTTCTACCGTACGTTACTATTGATATATGTTTGAGTTGAACCAACCATTTAAGTTGAGAAATAAATATAACTAGTACTTTCCACTAGCGTTTGAGGACAAGTGCGGTTTGAAGGAGAGGAAGTAATGTTAGCACCCCTTGAGTCTACTGACATTTTACACTTGAGATTTTTTTAAAATAAAAGTAGATTACTTCATATTATCTATTAATTATGTTTTTCTATTTCTAACATAAAATTTCAGTTTTTGAGTAATTTAAATCAAGAGACTGCGGGTTTTTTTTCGAATCAACACGATAGATCATAGATCATAAGAAGAAAATATTCTATTCAATACTATAATGTGTTCTTTGTAACCTCTTGTTGCTCTTTTGTCCCCTATGATAGCTCATCATTATCTAATTTTTCCAATTGATAACAGCAAGAAAGAGCCAAAAGACAATTCAGTTCATTGTGTGTAGTCACTATATAAAAATAAATTAAATAGGAAAAAACAAAAGAAGCAGATTCACAAAATCATATGAAATACATGCACCATAGTCAATGAAGTAGTTGATAATATGAGGTCTCGGGTTCAACATTAAGTGAAGTAAAAAAATATTAGGTGATTCTTCTTATCCGTTCTAGTCTTGATAGACAGAGTTACTTATTACATGTTGTTGATGGGAATGACAAATATCCTGTGAAATTAGTCGAGATGTGCGAAAGCTGGCTTAGAAATCACAATCATAAATAAATAAATCATAAGAAGGCACGCTTAGCTGTAGCTGTCTAACTGAGACTTTGAACAAACTTTAAATTTTGTGTTTGTTGCTTTGTTAAGATTATTAACCACACAGATTAATCATAATTTTTTATTTATCACCCCATAACTATGTTGTTTTTACCCTCTTAAATTCCATTCACCAAAGCATGCAATAACTTGCAAATCACACAAAAAAATAAATCGTACTAGACAAACTAGCTCCGTCTGATATGACGAGCTCGACCCAAACAGCCTACTCCCTATTATCACAAGTGAGGGCTTCCAAATTTGACACCTCCATTATGAAAGTCCCGAGCCAAAGGGTTATAGTGTACTCTCTATGTCTTTTTCTTGACATATTATTCTTTTCCACTTGATGTATAACATCTGTATCTTTTCCTCATTGGAGAAACGTGTTTCAAAAATATCCATATTCAAGGTTCGAATTTGAAAACGTTCAACTATTTATTTGAGTTAACAGTTAATTAATTGTACACAAACGACAAGCAGTTTGAAAAAAAATCAAATGGTCCAACACACTATTTATTTCTCAGTTGCAAGTACGTTGGCCAAGACATTTTATACAGTGATCATTTATCATAATGGACCGTATATATAACAGACATCACATGAATAATCAATAATGATAGAAAAAAACATCAATCATGCAAACAAATAAAAGAACTCTGATTATTGAAATATATTCAGTATGTACACTACGGATTAATAAAATCGATAATTCATCTTTAAAATTATTTTATCGCTATATATAATTGCCATATCAAGCAAGCATTTTATAGCGTTAAACAAGCATCTGACCTATAGATAAATGGTTATAGGTGTCCGTTATAGGAGTTTCTTATGACCTTTGAAGTGGTCCGTTAAATTTTCGAGCTTAAAATAGTCAAAATAACAACAAAATCTCTCATTATAATTTTTCCTTTTTTTTCTGGAAAGAAATGTCGTCTTCAAGTTCCTAATAGGGTTGTGGTTCATTAATTCATAATTTATAAGTAGCTCAAATATTTTATATTTTTTGGTTCAATTTTATAATTAAAAACAATATACGAATAAAGGAGGGTGAAGTGTTGTAAGCTATTATTAAGGAATTCCTACTATAACAAGTTAGCTCACTAGTGATATTATCAGTTTTTGAGCCTTGGCGTACACGACTTTAAAATGAGTTGTTAGAGTTAAGGTATCTCCCCTTTTTTGTTGATGTGAAATTTGTCTAGGTGTCACGGGGATTTGTATATATGGTGAGATGGAATGGAGGTGAGGCATATATGGTGATGGAAATGATGCAATCAATTTGAATTTGTTTTTAAAAATCAAATTGATGATCACATGCATGTACAGTTCTATTAATATATGTTTGGGTTGAACCAACCATTTAAGTAAAGAAATAAATACCACTAGTATTTTCCACTCTTAGCGTACCCCTCAAGTCTACTGACAGTTTACACATGAAAAATTTAAAGAAATTAAAAGTATATTACTTCAAGTTATCTATTAATTATGTTTTCCTATAGCTATCAGAGGCGAATCTAGAATTTCAAGAGGACGGATGCATCATTGTCAGGTGCGGCTCTGTCCCTTTAAGAAAAAAGGTAACTAATTTAGGTTTTCAAATTTGAGGGGCCTTATTTATTTTAGCAATAATAAATATAGGTTTTTCATAAGAAAAATATTAAATACATTTGCAAAATAAATAAATTTTATTATAAGAAAAAGTCATTAGAAGAGGTTTAAAAAAGGCTGAATGCAGAAACTCTTTTGTGAATAAAATAAAATGCAAGGTTGTGAAAATGCAGAATCTTGGAATCGATCCCTCAACCTCAAAGTGAAAAACTGACACTTAAACCAGTGAACCATCTAGTTGTTTGTGTTAATGGTTTCTTTTAGTTGCTATTTGATATATTTTAAAAATTATACAAGTAATACATCGAGTTTTGTCAGACGACCACAGGTTCAGATGACTCATTTTTTAAGCTTAAATTTGACCCTGATTTCAATGGTAATTAGTTGTAAGGAGCTAGGTTGATTATTCAATGAAGCGATAAAACATAAAATTTCAATTTTTTGAGTACTTTAACTCAAGAGACTAATTTTTTTTTTTTGCGAACCAACACCATAGATAATAAGAAGAAAATATTCTATTCAATACTATAATGTGTTCTTTGTGACCTCTTGTTGCTGCTTCTGTCCCCCTATGTTAGCTCATCATTATCTAACTTTTCCAATTGATAACAGCAAGAAAGAGCCAAAGACAGTTCAGTTCATTGTGTGTAGTCACTATTATATAAAAATAAATTAAAGAGGAAAAAACAAAAGAAGCATATTCATAAAATCATATGAAGTGCATCCACAGTAGACAATGAAGTAGTTGAGAATCTGAGGTCTCCGGTTCAAACTCCTTGATAGACAGAGTTACCAGCAAGTACCTATTGCTGATGGGAGATGGCAAGTATCCTGTGGAATTAATCGAGATGCGCAAAAACTGGCTTGAACAATTAGGGTCATAAGTAAATTAAAAAAATCATATGAAGGCACGCTAGCTGTAGCTGTCTAACTGAGACTTTGAACTGCACAAACTTTAAATATTGTGTTTGTGGGTTTGTAAAGATTATTAACCACACAGATTAATCATAATCCTTGATTTATCACCCCATAACTATGTTGTTTTTACCCTCTTAAATTCCATTAACCAAAGCACGCAATAACTCGCAAATCACACAAAAAAGTAAATCGTACTAGACAAACTAGCTCAATAAACTAGCTCAATCTGATATGACGAGCTCAACTCAAACAACCTACTCCAGTGAAGGCTTTCAAATTTGAGACCTCCATTATGAAAGTCCTGAGCCAAAGGGTTATAGTATACTCTCTATGTCTTTTTCCAGACATATTATTCTTTTTCACTTGATGTTTTAACATCTGTATCTTTTCCTCATTGGAGAAACGTGTTTCAAAAACATCCATATTCAAGGTTCGAATTTGAAAACGTTCAACTATTTATTTGAGTTGACAGTTAATTAATTGTCCACAAACGACAAGCAGTTATTTCTGAGTTGAAAAAAATCAAATGGTCCAACACCCTATTTATTTCACAGTTGCAAGTACGTTAGCCAAGACATTTTATACAGTGATCATTTATCATAATGGACCGTATATATAACAGACATCACATGAATAATCAATAATGATAAAAAAAAAAACACACCAATCATGCAAACAAATAAAAGAACTCTGATTATTGAAATATATTTAGTATGTACGCTACAGATTAATAAAATCGATAATTCATCTTTAAAATTATTTTATATCTCTATATATATATTTGTCATATCAAGCAAGCATTTTATAGCGTTAAACAAACATCTGATCTATAGATAAATGGTTATAGTTGTCCGTTATAGGAGTTTCTCATGACCTTTGAAGTGGTCCATTAAATTTTCGAGCTTAAAATAGTCAAAATAACAACAAAATCTCTCATTATAATTTTTTCCTTTTTTTTTTCTGGAAAGAAATGTCGTCTTCAAGTTCCTAATAGAGTTGGTTCATTAATTCATAATTTATAAGTAACTCAAATATTTTATATTTTTTGGTTCAATTTTATAATTTAAAAAAATATACGAATAAAGGAGGGCGAAGTGCACCAAAAAATGTAGCAGCCAAGTGGTTAGTAAATTAAATTGAAATGTGAGAACCATTAGTTTCGGGAGACACTAAGGAATAGTTGGTAGTTCGCTTTGTAAAAATATGATATCCAGATCTAACTCAATCTCAAAAGTTAATTCATGAGGTGAGATTTATCCAAGTCCATATAAATAGACCAAATTCCCATTTCTCTACCGATGTGAGATATCTTAACACTCTCCCGCACGCCTAGACCTCAACTGGAGCGTGACCACTTCTAAATGAAAATCCATCATCGGTGAACAACAAATTGAGACGGATTTGACTCTGATACCATCTAAGGAGACCAAAATTTTAAAAGTCTCCTTGTATGGACTAGGACAAACCT